AGAGAGAGAGAGAGAGAGAGAGAGAGAGAGAGAGAGAGAGAGAGAGAGAGAGAGAGAGAGAGAGAGAGAGAGAGAGAGAGAGAGAGAGAGAGAGAGAGAGAGAGAGAGAGAGAGAGAGAGAGAGAGAGAGAGAGAGAGAGAGAGAGAGAGAGAGAGAGAGAGAGAGAGAGAGAGAGAGAGAGAGAGAGAGAGAGAGAGAGAGAGAGAGAGAGAGAGAGAGAGAGAGAGAGAGAGAGAGAGAGAGAGAGAGAGAGAGAGAGAGAGAGAGAGAGAGAGAGAGAGAGAGAGAGAGAGAGAGAGAGAGAGAGAGAGAGAGAGAGAGAGAGAGAGAGAGAGAGAGAGAGAGAGAGAGAGAGAGAGAGAGAGAGAGAGAGAGAGAGAGAGAGAGAGAGAGAGAGAGAGAGAGAGAGAGAGAGAGAGAGAGAGAGAGAGAGAGAGAGAGAGAGAGAGAGAGAGAGAGAGAGAGAGAGAGAGAGAGAGAGAGAGAGAGAGAGAGAGAGAGAGAGAGAGAGAGAGAGAGAGAGAGAGAGAGAGAGAGAGAGAGAGAGAGAGAGAGAGAGAGAGAGAGAGAGAGAGAGAGAGAGAGAGAGAGAGAGAGAGAGAGAGAGAGAGAGAGAGAGAGAGAGAGAGAGAGAGAGAGAGAGAGAGAGAGAGAGAGAGAGAGAGAGAGAGAGAGAGAGAGAGAGAGAGAGAGAGAGAGAGAGAGAGAGAGAGAGAGAGAGAGAGAGAGAGAGAGAGAGAGAGAGAGAGAGAGAGAGAGAGAGAGAGAGAGAGAGAGAGAGAGAGAGAGAGAGAGAGAGAGAGAGAGAGAGAGAGAGAGAGAGAGAGAGAGAGAGAGAGAGAGAGAGAGAGAGAGAGAGAGAGAGAGAGAGAGAGAGAGAGAGAGAGAGAGAGAGAGAGAGAGAGAGAGAGAGAGAGAGAGAGAGAGAGAGAGAGAGAGAGAGAGAGAGAGAGAGAGAGAGAGAGAGAGAGAGAGAGAGAGAGAGAGAGAGAGAGAGAGAGAGAGAGAGAGAGAGAGAGAGAGAGAGAGAGAGAGAGAGAGAGAGAGAGAGAGAGAGAGAGAGAGAGAGAGAGAGAGAGAGAGAGAGAGAGAGAGAGAGAGAGAGAGAGAGAGAGAGAGAGAGAGAGAGAGAGAGAGAGAGAGAGAGAGAGAGAGAGAGAGAGAGAGAGAGAGAGAGAGAGAGAGAGAGAGAGAGAGAGAGAGAGAGAGAGAGAGAGAGAGAGAGAGAGAGAGAGAGAGAGAGAGAGAGAGAGAGAGAGAGAGAGAGAGAGAAAGCAACGGGAAAAGATTACAGCACCTCACCCAGTCTATGCGTGTGTGTGTGTGTGTGTGTGTGTGTGTGTGTGTGTGTGTGTGTGTGTGTGTGTGTGTGTGTGTGTGTGTGTGTGTGTGTGTGTGTGTGTGTGTGTGTGTGTGTGTGTGTGTGTGTGTGTGTGTGTGCGTGCGTGCGTGCGTGCGTGCGTGCGTGCGTGCGTGCGTGTGTGTGTGTCTGTGTGTGTGTCTGTGTGTGTGTCTGTGTGTGTGTGTGTGTGTGTGCGTGTGTGTATCGCGTGATCTTTCGCAACTGGTCGCCTGGCCCCCGCCCCCCGGCCGGCGCAGCGACCGATCATCTGGAGCTCAAATCCCGGTTCGGCGGCGGAATAACTGAAGCGGAATTGCAAGCTCGCAGGATCCGATAATGGACTTAGGCGCTCTTGCCCGCTAGGCCTCGGGCGCGAAGCCCCGGGCGTCTCTTGCAAAAGTTTGCAAGCCGGGCGACGCATCTCGGACATTCCAGCGCGGATCGGGTGGCCGAGCAGATGAAGGGAAAAGCACGGCCGCGGGAGCGCCGGCGGGAGGTCGTGTCCCGCGCAGGATCGCGCGGAATGTGTGCAGGTGGGCAGCCATGACGTCACAGGTCAAGCTACCTTTCCCAACATTCCTTCTCGGGTGAAAGTGAGAGTGACTTTCTATCTCTGCACATTGAATGCAGCAAATAACCATTTGAAATTAATTTCTAGATTTCATGTGACAGGATCGGAGGCGCGGCAGGTCGACCCTCGCTCTGATAACTCCGCGCGGCGCGTCATGCGGTGGCTGCGGCCAGGCGACCTGCGGAAAACCTACAAGCACAGCGATTTGGGAGATAATGTGACCAATATGATTCTCATTGGCGGGTGACCTTTTCAACTACACCCCCCCTCCCCGCCCTCTCATATTCTCCCAGCATCGTAAACTACGCGGGATGCGGCGAGGCACGTTCGCGCTCGACCGCAGACGCTCATTCCGGCAGCGGGGGAGATTGGCACGTCCCCGGGTCCTCGCGGAGAGGGAAAAAGTCTGAGAGAGAGGGAGGGAGGGAGGGAGAGAGGGAAAGAGAGAGAGAGAGAGAGAGAGAGAGAGAGAGAGAGAGAGAGAGAGAGAGAGAGAGAGAGAGAGAGAGAGAGAGAGAGAGAGAGAGAGAGAAAGCAAAGGGAAAAGAATACAGCACCTCACCCAGTCTACCGCACCCGACCTCCA